CAGCACACGGGAAGCCAGTTTCAGCCGCATGCTGCTCCGGAATGAGACAGACCCAGCCGGGTCAGCACCGGCCAGGAAAGGCGGCATGCAGCTGAAGTCAGCTTTCCACATGCTGCTGGGGACGGGAGAAGGCTGGCCGGGTCTGCAACGGCCAGCAGAAGCAACGGCAGAGCCGTGTGCCGCTCGGGAGGGGACGAGCCCAGCCAGAGCTGCAGGGGCTCAGCTGCATTTTCCCCCTGCCTGCACCAGTCAGTACCAAGCAGCACACAGCTCTGCCGCCACTTCTGCTGGCTGATGCCAACCTGGCCAGCCTTCTCCCGTCCCCAGCAGCACATGGGAAGCCAGCACGGGGAGACCTCGGCAGGCAGGGTCCTGGCTGACCTCTGTGGGGCGAGGCCGCAGGAGCCGGTGTCTGCCGGACCCTGTGCTCCGGGCTCACAGCGCTGAGGCCACCGGGGGCTGCATGCACAGGCAGCCAGGCACCACGGTGAGCGGGGCTGTGTGGGCAGCCGGGTGAGGGGCTGTGGTGTAGTAGCCACCTTGCTCCAGCACCGGCTCGTGGGGCTGTGCTGCTCGGGGGATGGAGATGTGGAGCTATTTATTTCTTCCCTTCAGTCTCTGGGGCAGTAGCTGGCTGGATGCAGAATGGATCCCTCCTGCCCCTGCCCACCAGCAGCTACCATGAACCTTTCAGTAACAGGCAGGTGCAGTAGAGCTACACAGGCAGGGTCTCTCTGGCCCAGGACAGAGGGTTTGAATATGGCTCACCGGCCCACTGGGTGATAAAAAATTCATGATCCAGACCCACATTCAAAAAGGCTGGACATCCCCTGCCCTAGGAGATTGACAAGGCCTGAAAGTATCACACACACCAAAGCTGGTCAGCATCCTCAGACCTATATTTATTGATCTCCTTGAAAATGGCACTCAAAGGACAAACTCTCAGCATCTACATCCTCCCTCTAAGGGAGAACAAATTAAGTACAGAAAAAATGGGCACCTCTCAGTCTGGCAGGTTTGGCAAGTGGGCATATAAAAAGCCCAGAATGTTTTCTTGAGTGGCTTACCTTGCAGCTCCTTCTAAAGTGGATTTTTTTTCAGGAAATATCATTCAGCTTTCCTCTAATACCACCATACTTCTTCTGAAGCTAGCAACAGTAACAGCACTTCATCTACCAATATTCTTCTCCCACTGTGCTGTCTAAATGCATGCTAAGTAAGGGTAGTAAATACTAGAACAGCCAGTCTACGCTACCATCATTATCATCAGTAACAACTGCTCCAGTACTAAAACAGTAACAGAAAGTGTTCAGAAGGGATAGTGTGGACACAGCCTGTGAATATGCAGTTCCTGTTTAAAACAGTGCCATCAAATCAACTTGAATCCAGGAGTTTAGATTGTTTAATGAAAATATCTTTTGTGAAATCAGTTATCAGTGCTCCCATCATTTTTATTTTAAACTGCAATGGAAACAGCTTGTTTTTAGAAGACTAAAATTCCCCTGCAGTGTTTATAACCCAGGCACTGGAACTTCCTGCAAAAGGTATGGAATCACAGATGCAGCATGCTAGGAACAGACTGTAGGCAAAGAGACCAGTCTATTTTCATTGTCCAAGATGAATGAAATACAAAATAATACTAATGAAGCATAAACAGTGAAAAGCAAATTGGATGATAAGAACTCCTCCACTATAATCATTTACGGTGCTGTTAATAAAACAGTTAAGAAAAATGTATGGAAACAAAAAACAACACACATTACATTAGGGAGATCCAGAGCAATGAGGATTATATGGAGTGGCCAACCTGAATGGTAGCCAGACTGCCAAGTTCCTATTCAAAAGAAACCACTGTCAAAGTACATCAAACCCAGAAGATTTCTGCCATGCCATGGTCCAGTGCCCAGCAAGAAACCTACTCAACACCAGTAAAAATAAAAACATCTGTACCTGAGAGCCGGGGACTGGGAGAGAAAGCGAGAGGAAATGCTGAGGTTTTCTGTTCTCTCCAGGGTCCTACATGATCCACCTATGGGGTGTGGGGGGGAAGCGTGCAAGTTAGTTACAAATATGATGCAAACATTCTGACAAGTGATTTTTCTTGCAGTGCATTCTACAAAGTGCTGTTGTATTTCAGAGATGTAAAAACTACTCTACTCTAGGTATCAAGACACAGAGAATAAATTTTACCTTCTGTTGCCTTTTCTTCTTTTATTAGATCATACTTCCTCAGCCCCAAACTGTGTCAAAAGAAAGAAGAGTTTCCCTAAGGGTATTCCTCCCCTTCCCCTATTCCCTTTGTGCAGAGTCCTACCCTGTCTATAGGACTGTGGGCTATCAAAATGCAAAAAAAAATAAAATAAAATAAAAAAAAAAAAAACCAAAAACCCCACCAAAAGACAGAAAGCTTACAAGGAGAATGCTAAACTATAACCACTATTAATACCAGCAAAATATTCTTTGGTCCCGAGCTGACTGAGGGAAACTAAATATCTCCTTTTCCACTTTGATGTTTCGGTGTTGTTCTCATTCTCTTCCTCCGCCCTGCATCTCGTCTTTTTCTTTTGTGACGTCTGTTATGCATGCATATACCACTAGAGGCCACCACATATTGTATACAGAGAAACAAGCTTATGCCTTAGTATATTCATTGACAGGAAAGATAGAACTGAAATAAGAAAATGGCTTCTTGGGATCCCCAGCAAAGTGCTTTACCAGGTTAACAAGAACAATTTTGCTAGCTCAGCCAAATGTCGACATCCTTTATACCTAGTTTCTTACACACAGTCTCAGCCTCCAGACTGTAGGAACTACAGGACATCCTTTTTTCCCCTTAACCTCTCTGCCTTGGTTTTCATCCCTGCTCTATGCAACTGGAAAGCTGTCAAACCTGATTTAAAGCAAAGCAGATAAACTGGGAGCTATGATGCCTCAGAGGGCTCCCACCAGTTTGGCAGACATACCTTTTTCACCAGTAATGGTCAATGTCTCAAAATGCTGCTTGAGGAACTTCTCTTGATCTGGAGTCCTGGGGACCTCTCCCTCTAGCATCCCAGTACCTGCATCCTCCTCTCCTTCTCCCTCCAGGTCTGAGATCCCATCCACACTGAGGGGCTCTGTGCTCTCAGAGTCTGCAGAGGCACAGAAAGTAACGTCTGGTCACAGTAAAATTTACACATCAGCCATTAGCTTTGTTCCCCAGAAGAAGCTACTCAGGAAGATGGTACAGCACATTCAGGACTGACAAGAGTATCAGCCAAGCAGCAATAGGATACAATTTCCTGATGTACAGTACCCCCAGGCAGCACAATTCCCCAAAAGCACAAATACAGTGACCTCATTAGCTAGTATGCGATTAGCAGGTAGTCAAAAAACCCAAACAGTAAATGAATTTCACAAATGTATGTTGCTAAAGGTACCCAAAATGCTTAGAAGTAATACCACCAAGACCTTTAATAAGAGTGTGAAGTCATCTGAGCTCCCCAAAGTCCATGTATACATCTCTCTCAGTTAGCATTACTAACAGCAGCGAACGATCCCTTTAAGTTTCCACAACGTTCCACGATCACACGCACAGTCTTATAGCACGCATTTACAACTTGCCTTCGTTTGGATGGTCTGGGCTGGAGAGGCGACTGCTACTGTAATCTACAGAGCAGGCACTGTCAGGGCTGTGCTTATCTGGACATCCATTGCTGGGGAAGCCTCGACCTAGCTTCCCATGGGGCAGTGCTTTTACTCGGAACTCACTGCAAGCGAGATAGGAAAAATACAGAATTAGAAGAGTGGTCCATTTTGCATTTAAAGAGGCAGTTATCAGCTAAATAGTATACATTTTAAAGAGCCCTTGCCTGTGCCTGTGTTATTAACACAATAAAAAACCAGGATTAAAAAAAATTAAAATACTACATCTTTCACAATTTATGTACTTTACTTTTGCATTTTATTAAGCTTGGACAGTGAAATCAGATTGGTCCATTTCACCTTCTGACCACAGTCAGTTTCACATTCTTAATCCTGAGGCACTAGCCACATATGCTGCAGTAGTTGGGTTCTCAGCACTACAGAGGAATGAATGTAGGAGTCCACTGAATAAATAAATTTAAAAGAGATAAATAAGAAGATGAGGAAGGGCCCTGCAGTGAAAACATTCCTATATACTATAGGAATTTCCTATAATGAAAACTATTTCCCCACATTTTGAGGTCTTAAGCTGGCATCTTTTCACACACGTGTTCTTTGAGTTGTCTCTGCTGCAAAATATAAGATTCTATGACTGAAGAGGTTAATTTTCAGCAGAGAATATCATATGAAACTCAGTAGTAGAAGATTTGAATCCCTGCATTTGTTCTAAATTTTGTAAGTCATATTTCACTGAATGAGGCCAATGGTATCCTCTTGTCTGATGTCAGAAGAGTACAACGTTCCATTTTAAGGAACAATTTGGCATTAGAAACAAATAGAGCCTATGCACTAAAATTGTGAGCTGGAACATGGGAGTCACCATAATGGATATTTAATATAACGTAACTGTGTGGAGATTAGTTCTGACAGCTTGCAAACTGTGCACACTTTGTAACGTGTCCAATTTGTATCCAGCACCACCACAGGGCCTCCTTTCTAACATGCAAGAATAGCATGCAGGCTTGCTCTGTCTAAATATTATTGCTATAAAATTAAAAACATAAATAAAGAGAAACTGGGAGAAACCTATTTCAACTACAAAATCTTGGCATACACTGCTGCATGAAAACTCATTTTGTACTGGGATAGGGGGAAAGGGGGAGGTATTAAACAGCTATAAGCAGAATTATTCTGAGAAAAGGAAAAACAAGGGAGCAGAGCAGAATAAACAAAGTGAAACCGTCTAAGTATAAAAAAGAGATACCACAGAGAAAAATGGCCTCTTAAATCTCTCTGATGTCCCTTTAAATTCCTTTCAGATCACATAACTATGTAACAGCAGAAAGACAGGCTATTACACACTACATTTATTAGCATCTTGCCCAGTCAAGTTTGAAAACATCCCAAATGATAGGGCTTCTACCAACTTCTCTAACTGACTGTTCCAAAGCCAAATCCATCTCACTGTTAGGAAGTTTTCCAGCATAACATTTTCCCTTACTTAATTTCAAGCCAGATAAGGGAGAAAGTTAGTTGCATCCAAGATGTTTATTCAAGGAGAAATTGGAGGAGGTTGCTGACATGCATGGTTTCCTCATGAGCAAAGACTGTTTTAACAGCACTCTCAGCTCAGCATGCTTTAGAACTCAGAATCAGGCATTAGTAAAGTCCTTAACTAAACATGTCCAGCACTAAGCTAGCAGTAAATTTCCTTAGTCATGTTACCATGAGCTGCACATAAGCAAGATGTATAGCAGCAGCGTAGCCATGCACAGAAGAGAACTGATTTTTAACCTGTTCGTATCTGCAGGAAGAATTTCATCTTGTTCAGGGTAGATTACACATTCCTCACTCCCAGAGGGCTCCAATTCCTGAGAAAAAACCCCTTCTTCACAGGACACAAGCCGGATCACCTGGGGGCGGACACAGGGCCGGTTATCCTCAGGAGCTATTGAGTTCCCAACCTAGCACAGAAACAACAGAAGTTACTAGAATTTTTTCCTTCCAATCAGAAGGACAACATGGGAATTGCAAAAAACCCACTACAATAAGGAGTGCAATCAATAATATGAGCATATAAAAATAGGAGTTATTCAACTGAAGTCAGGTCCAGTACAGAATTATCTTTATCTAAACCACTGAATGTCAATCAGGGTGCCTTGAAATCCTTTCAAGGGTACCATGGGATGCCACACAATTAGGTTTAGCACTGCTAGGTTTACAAATTTGATCCACAAGATAAACCAAGGATTTCAAATAGAAATCCATAGTTGTGGTCTTTCTGAGTTCTTTGCAACATAAAAACTGCTTTATTATGAAGTTAAAATAAGAATGAAGATTAAGAGCTGGCAATTCCAAAGGGGTCCCTCAAGTATCCAAGGATGCCCTGAGTCTAAAAAGATTGAGAACCACTAATCCAAACAGTACCTCTTTAGTGCAAGATGATACCCTGCTTGTTGCAGCTTATCATAGGGCACAGAGCTGCATTAAAAATGAACTTAACCACAGACTACACTAGAACTCAGTCCTCACAGGAGCTACAATTAAGACATTCATGGAAGTGACTCTCAGCACTCCTGGGAGAAGTAGATGCGGTGGCTGGCAGTAATGGACCCTAGTTAAATAAAGCATTAGTAGAGGTTACTAGTATTTTTTTCCTTCATATCAGCAGGACACCATGGGAATTCCAAAATATCCACTACCAGAAGGGGTGCAATCAGTAATATGTGCATATAAAACCAGCCATTTATTGAGGCAAGCTTTAATTCCTATTGACCACAGGGAACAAACTGCTCCATGAAAGCTCCTCTGAAGAAGGTCAAGTTTCTCACTGCCTATAAATTAACCCTTGTTTCCTTATACGATTATCCTTAAGGGAAGAAATAAGCCTTGCATAATGCTGTATGGCAGGGTCTGTTGTTAATAACCTGGATCTAACAGAGGGTCTTTAATCTTTAATCCAAAGATTAAAAGGGTACTATAAAAGGGTGATGTCACATGCAAGCAACAGTAACCAGAGTCAGAACAAGCACCTGATGAAGTGGCAACAAGTTCATTCACTGGAGAACAGCCACTCTTACCATGCTGATGTGTGGAGGGAGATCAGCCTGCTCTTCTTTATCATCCCCATTGCTGGTTTGGGACAGCGAGTCTCGGCTAGCGGACCGAGAAGCTGAAAAAGATTCCAGCTGGCGCAAGTCAAGCATAGATTTAACAGTCATCTCTATGTTACTGGCTGGTTGGGACCAGCGCCCACGCTGCCGGGGCATTTTGTTCATTGTTGCTTCAGAACGCTGATTTGCTGCGATCTCCTTTGTCTGGAGAAGGTTTAAAGACAGAAGAGAAGGTTGAAGATAAAATTCTGTGAATGGAGCTGGAGTGTTACAGCCATACGGTCCAGAAAATGAGAGACGCAAGAAATTTTTAGTGACATTTTTACTGGTACAACTGTATAGTTTGGAGAGACATTAGACAAGCTTTTGGGCACAAAATGCTCCCTAAACATTTTTAAAATGGTATTCCTCATGTTTTCAGTAATGTCTTGCATCCCATCCTTCACTGACAGTGAAAACAAAGCTATTCCAGTTCTATTAATTTTATTGTTCTCTTCTATAAAATCATAATCCTTGAGCAATACCAACATGTGATATCATTGGAAACTTCCTTGCAAGTTTCTATGCCATCCAAAACAGTCCCTCCCAGAAAGGGTTCAACAGTGGAATTTCTGCTCTGGAAGAATTCTTATAGCAGTACCCCTAACAGGATGAGTACCTTGTGGTTTCTGTATACATAAGACAGAAGCACATTTTAAAGAATTAGTTGCTTACCCTCCTCATTTCCCAATAGGAGAGACTTCTTGAGAGGGTAAATTCTGGATCTGAAAAGAGAAAAAGTAAAACAAGTTGGCATCCTAGCCACTAAGCACACTTTTAAGGCCTCTATCTCCATCTTTCTAAAGTTTATTTTGTTATGGATAATTCCAGTTGTGATATACTTAACACTAGTAATGATAATGTCTAATAGAAGTTCCAGTAGGTTTCATTAGAATCCTCAGACAGGTCTCTTGGCCTCTACTGGCTTCTAGGAATCTGTCACTCAATAAACTTGACAGTTCTCATTCAAAATCTGTTTGGCCAACCTATTTGGAACTGGCAAGAACCTGGTAAAAACTTAGTTAAAATTTTAAGGGGCAGGGCAGGGGGAAATATCACTAATCAATCTCTCTACAGCTCAGTATAAACAACTCAAATGTTATCTAATTGTAGTTGTTGAGCCATCTTGCTATTTTTATTCCTTCCTACACAATGAAGTTGCCTTCCCAGACCCCACATGCTCTCCATTGTCTACTCTGCCCTATACAGCCTCATGAGTACTCTATACATGCTCTTGCACACTTCTCCCCAGTCCCTGTCCATGCCTCTCCTTTCCCATACGTACCCAAGTCTCTCCCAGTGTTGCAGTTGGATTGAATTTGGAAAGACTGCAACCCATGTAACTCATCTTCATCATTCCCTTCATCTTCACCATCTTTGTCACTGTCTGATGAGAGTGCAGGCACAGGGGACAGGACAGAGACAGACTCGTGCCTGGGAGGTAGGAATTGCAAGAAACATTATGGTACCTCCCAAAAACTCCCTGTTGAATCCACATGCTAGCCAGTACACTCCCTCATGTCACTTCTATCACGCATCACATCACTCGTACTCTTCCAATTTCTCCAAATGGGACTGACCTTGTCCAGCAGAACAGGACTTTGAGATGTGGTGCCAATTATGCACCGCAGGTTCCTGGAACCTGACCAGGCTATCACGTGCATGTAAGGAAAGATCATGGAATCCTAAATAGTAACACATACAGCAGTGATTCTCAGCCAGGGTGCCACAGTACCTGGGGGTGCCACAAAATCCTCTTAAGGGTGTAGCAAGATGCCACACAGTATTTGCAGTCTTATGTGTGCAAATAAACCCAGAGTCAACCCATGATGTCAAAAGCATCCTCATTTGTTGTGGTCTTTCTGAGTTCTTTGTAACAGAAGAATAGCTCTATTTTTTCTGTAACAAAAAATGCTAGGAGCTGGTATTCTCTGATGGGTGCCTTGGATCTAAATAACTGTCATACAAAATTCAATCATAATTTGGCTTTACAATTCAAACCCTGATAATTTAAGACTGCCAGAAGCCATTTGAAAAATAAAAATTATTTTTCTACCTGTGGACATCTTATCATGTTTCCCTCTTCCCCTGTTGGTCTTTTTTATGTACCACAACCACCACAAAGGCTTTTCCTTTGATAGAAGTTTGGCATTTGAGAAAGCTACAGATGATGTTGTGAGAGAGAGAGAAGTTTGATTACTTGAAGCAAACCTACTTGTAAAGCTTGCATGCACAGTCTACACACCATCATATTGTCCGGCTGTACTGTCAGCCATAAGGCACACTAAAGAATATCAAACATACCTTGGATAGATCCTTAAAATGGAAATGGGAGACATTTCTGATATGGATTTCAGTCACCCCAAGCATAACTTCCCATCAACAGAGGATTTTTTTTTTAACCAGTACAAGATACATTTCCCCCACCCCTCAGTAAAGTTAGAACAGAACCAAATCAACTAACCTTTTTAGCCACCTGAAGTAACAAAGCACAATTAAATAAATTCAGATTCTTTGACTAATCAATCAGTATAGCACACACTCCATGACCTTGAGCAAGACAGCCAAGTGTATCATTAGCAACCTTTATAAAGTGCTGTGGGTGGGCTGTAAGCGCAAGATATTCAGATGACAAAAATAACTCATCTACCAAGTATAGAACAGCCGGGCCTAGGACCAAATCTGCTGCAATTTACAGACTGTAGGTCATACTAAATACGACAGGAGGAATTGAGAATTGCAGTATTTTCTCCTTCATAAGACAATGGAACTCAAATTTTCTTTCTATCAGGAAAGACAGAGACAGCTTATCCAATAGGACAGCGGTGGGCAAATCCGACCCCCAGGCCACGTTGCAGCCCACCAGGTCATTCTATCTGGCCCCCAGAGCCCCTAAAAAATTTAGAAAATTAATATTCATCTGCCCTGGGCTGCCTGTCATGTGGCCCTCAATGGCTTGCCAAAACTCGGTAAGTGGCCCTCTGCCCAAAATAATTGCCTGCCCCTGCAATAGGATAATGAATAATTTTCAGTATTTTCTGGCTAGGCTGGAGAAGACAAATAAAGGCTTACTCACTGGATTCTTCCAGCAAGTTTTCCAATTGCAGATTTCCCTTCTCTGCTTTTTCCCCCCCACTTGTCTCCACATCTCTCCACCCAGTCCCCCTTGGGTCCTTTTTCTTGGTCAGTGGTATCCTCCCAGAGCTCATGTACCATAGTACCTCTTGTGGCTACACTGTGGCTTATACCACAATGCACATTATTGTTTTAAATATACAGAAGGCAATATTAACTTTGACATACTGGTACATTTTATAGTGGCATCTGTTTCATGTATTTTGTTTTAAAATGTATAGCCCCTCTTATAATGTTGATAAAAGGTCTGATGAATAACTAGTTGGTATCTGAGATAGCCATCATTAATAAGATTACAGGGCAAGTCACTGCCAACTTTTGGGAAATTCCTCTGAATCTATCATATGATAGATAGGACTGGGAAAGGTTTAGCAAACCAGCATGACTGAAATTATATACAAGAAAATACACACAGGCCACGTTTATCAAAAAGAGATTGGCAAAAGGAAAAAAAAAGAAAAGAATACTTTCAAGCATTTTCAGAAAAGTGGAAAAATAGGAAGTAAATACTGTTGTACAACTGTAGAAGTAAGAGAGGTCAATGGCAAATTATCATCTTACTGAACCTATCAAATAGTGCATCGGGTTAGAGGGGTCTAATACAACTCATGATTCTTTATCATCACAATAAGCCTTATTTCCCTTCTCTGTGCCCTTTCCTGCAACCAGAATGTGTTCAGGCATATTCAACTTGGTCCTGAGGGTAAATTTTCAAAACTGCTTAAGCCCTGTTGGCTCAAAACTTAACTTCTGAAAGTTAACTTGGGCTCCATATATTAGGCTGCTTTTCAAAATTCTTTTTGCCATTTCTCCTTTACTTGACCAAACCATAAGCTTTATTTCTTTCTCCTACTTTTCTTTCATTGCCTTAGACCAAAAAATAAGAACCCTGTTCTTAACCACCAAACACTGATGTATGCAGCTGATACAACCAATAGTCTCCCTCTCCCTCATCTTACCTGAACTTCAAAGCTAATTTAAATTAAGTTGGCTGTGAAATCAAAGCACAAGAGCTATTCCAGAATAACTCTATACTAGACAAGCCTTAAGGTGATGGTCAGAACAGCTCTCAGGATACAGGTTCAATTCACTTAAACCATAACACAAGCTTAATTTTTCTCTCGTACTCCTTCACTGCTCCCCTAACTTTCTTTCAAAACGTATCATTTTTTGGCCCCTTGAACATGCAGCTCATTTGAGAGGTAGACTCTATAGCCCCATAACATCGCACTGAAGTTACTGGGACTTCATGACAGTTCAAAAAGCTCCAACTTGCTGGAGTTAGTCACAGGATCAAAGCCTTTGGATCTAAGCTCCCCGAAGTACAGACAGAGTTTTGTCCCTGTACTAACACACATTTTTATGGCATCAAATAATTTAGATGTCAGAATAATACGCTGTTTAGTGTCCTCTTCTGCTTTCTGAATAAAATCATATCTAAAAGTGAATAAAGGGAAAAATACATCAAAATGATAACATGGTATCACCATCCTAACTCCAATTCTGTGCTCTTGGTACCTTCAGGGGCATATTAATCAGGGCAAAATACTAATAGACTCTAATAATACAGGGGTGGACAAAATATGGCCCATGGACTGGATGTGGCCTGCCAAGCACTCTCATCCAACCCATGGGGCCCCCCAACAAATTGTGCCCTCCCCAGCCCTTCCGCCTATGAGGGTGGGAGCAAGGCACCCACATGTACACAATGCTCCCAAAATGTACCCTAAAGCCTAGCTCCCACCCTTGTGGGCAGAAGGGCCTGCCTGGCCAGCGTGCAGTTTCCACGTGGGACTGCTGCTGTGGTAGCAGCAGCAGGCTGGGTCCTCAGGGCATAAGCACCCAGCAGGGCCTGGCTCCAATGAGCCTTGCACATCACAGTGAGGGGCACAGCCTCTGCCGAGCCGCCTATATCGCAAGCACTGCCTGCCCCTCATGTCCAGCCCCTGTGTTTGCCGGGCACAGGGGGAAGGCCCCACATGCTGGAGCCGGCTGACTTCCCTACCGGCTCTGCGCAGCACCAGAGAGAAGCCTCAGGCTGGAGCCGGCTGCCTTCCCCGCCCCACAGGGGAAGATGCCTGGGGCTTCCCTCCCCTGCAGCGCAGCCCTGGCGGGGAAGGCAGCCAGCTCCAGTGCCTGAAGTTTCTCTCGGGTGCTGCGCAGCCCCAGCAGGGAAGGCAGCTGGCTCCAGCACGTGGGACTTCCCTCCCTGATGTGCAAGTGCAGGAGCGGCAGGGAGCACCAGCGATACAGGCGGCCCAATGGAGGCCACGCCCCTCAGCGCAATGCGCAGCGCTGGTTGGAGCCGCACCCCGCCAGGCACCTGAGCCCCGAGTACCCTGCCTGCTGCTGAGCCATGGGGGGGTCCCCACACCCCCCAACCTCCCTCATACCCACACCCTGTCCCCACATATACACAACTACCCACCCTACCTTATGTCCCCCCCACACACACAGCCATTCCCTCACAACCTCCCACACTCCACCATACACACACACACAATATACAAAACTAAGACTTTATTTCTGGGTTATTATGCAATCACCTCTATATACAGTATGCAAACAGCAAATCATGACAAAAATATTTTTTGTAATAAAATTAAAATATGTTAGAGTAGGTGTTTGACTTCTAGTACATGATTTGTTTTCTTCTCATTCTAAAATGGCAACCCCCCTCCCAAAAGGAGTATTTCCGGGGGACAAAGGGAAAGACTTCTGGTGGCAAAGGTCAGGGGTTAGGGGATGAGACGTCTAGTCCCAAGATGGCAGCAAGGGGCAGAGCAACTGTCAAGAGGCGGGGCTACTCAAGTGGCCCTCAACAACTCACTACAACTCATTAAGCAGCCAACCTGAAATAATTGCCTGCCCTGCTCTAAATGCTCAAAGATAAAAGCACACAATGATACTCATTTTAGTAGAATGACACAACTAAAATTGGAAAAAAACTGTTTTTAATCAGGTTCCAATTTACTTTTGCATCAAAATGGTCAAAAAGTACTCAGCTCTTCCTGGAACGGACTGCTGGCTCACTAAGCATTTGATAAAGAGCTAACAGTTTAGTATAAACTCGAGAACAATTGCAGCTTCCCCAGAGTACATACAGTATATGCAATACTACTTTTAGAAACATTATCCAAAATTAAATCAAGTCTATCTCCTGCTATTAAAGAGAGGTCTTCAATAATATCGCAAAAAAGGGGATTTAGAGATATAAATACTCCCCTAACACATAAGCTTATAATCCCTCATCTAACAGTGGAAAATTTCAGTGTAAAACCTCTCTTCCAAATGATGAGACAAAATATTTTTCCCCGAACAATAATGCCTGCTGAGACCAAAACAAAGAATATACAGGCCTTTTTGCAATTCCTACTCTGAAGCCATAAACATCTAAAAACCCAAATGCACTAGCAGTACAAATGAGTACAGGTTATATTTCTCCTAATAATTAAAAAAATAACTCATTGTCACTGAGGGAAGAGAGAACATACCAGCAATTTTCATGATGAGAAGCAGAACCCAAAGGGATATTTGTATACTCTAAAAGAAAACAACGGGAACATAAAAAGATGTTCTTCAGAAGAGATTCATTATTACATAAGGAGACAACACGAATATCAGGCAATACTCAGCTGGGCTAGACCCTGTGATAGCTGGGTAAAGACAATGTTATATTAGCTAACAAGTCTTCAGCTCCCTACAGTCCAAGTAGAGCTCTCAAGTCGTCAGGTTTCTGAAGCCTCCGTTCCCTGACTGCTCTTAGAACGTGAAAGAAGCTGCAACACCCAGCTGGGTAATAGACTTACTTTAACCAGTACAGTACTGTACACAGTTCAATAAAATCAAATCATATAACACCATGGCTGGAGAACCTTAATGTTTCTGTGGATCTTATGCCCAGGCCACTAATAAGAGGACACTCTTACCCATCTCGATTTAAACCAACTCTACATAGCAGCTTACAAACAGATTCAGAAGTAACCAGAACAGGTATTACACATGTATTAAACAGGGATTCTTACTCCAGATCCTCAGTTCCTCAATTCCACACAGTGATGCTGAACACAATGAGTTATTCCCTCCAAATTCAGCCAGCAATCCATAATGCTCTGGTATTACGTCTCTGTCGATACTTGGTGACCACAGCAAATGCTCAGAACTGAAAACAAGTTTCAAAACTCACCAAATCAGAAGGTTCCACTCTAGTAAAGAGGTCACCAAGCAAGTTTTCCTAAATTGCTGGGACTGGCGTGGCACTGGCACCACCCTCCAGCAAGAGTATGTGACAGAAATGTGTCTCACCTAGTGCCAAATGAAACTGGGAGCGTCCCTCACAGACTGCACCTCAGTCAGGCAAAACTGCAGCTGCTGGAATTATGGAGAGCCTGCTATAAAAAGCACACAGCTTTACAGCTAAAGCATTTTGGCTTCATGGCTCAGTACTGAAGCATCCCAGAATAATTACGGCACACTTGTCAAACAAGAGATGCTCCAAAGAGCAGAGTGGCCCAAGGATCCCGAGTGAAACTATGCAGACAGACTTGTTCTAACAACTCCCAAAGAGAATGGAAGGTTCTTGCAATACTTGCAAACAACCAGTCTGACGAGACCTTTGATGCTTTGACACTTCATTATTCAGATTTTAAAATCTTTTAGCCGTTTGGGGGAGAAGAATGGATTCAACACCCATTTTTGGTACCATGCGAGCCTGCCAGAGCTGCAGATGCTTCCCTCCTCCACCCCACTATTGTCAAATCAGCCACTGCGAGTGCAGTGCTTAAGCCACTAAACTGACCAGCAACCCTAAAAAAAACAAACACCCTAGCCCTTGCAGCCAAGTTAGCTCTGTTTGAAATCAAAGCTCTGTATCTAAGCACCATTTTTCAAAGTAGGAGCACTAGATAAATTTAGATCTAGCTCACGGTTTCCATTCTGTACTGTAAGGTGGGGGAGAACTGACCAAGACAAATAATTCTTATGGAATTATATTTTTTAAACAGTAACCTTCTCTGAAGCTTTCATTCCTGTAAAGGAGATAATTACCATAAAGCCTGTTATCACCCTTCACAAACAATTATAGGTATTTGCCATGTTTAAAAATGTCAGGTATTTTCCAGTGCGTATTTTGCATAAAATTTAATTTGATTGGTGAAGCTTTAGCCTGGCACCTCATATCTCTATTCTTAAAATGATCAAGCTCTCCTAGACAGGATGCTCGTGTACTACTCTCAGTGCTGTTTTGTACAGCATGTTTTTAACATCATCTTCCAAAAAATAGATTAAAGGAGATGTGACATTCTGTAAAGACTGCAAAGGAGAATGAAATAATGTAGCCGTCAAATCATAGTTGGGTGTTTAAATCCAAATGTTGAAAGACATAGAACAAGCAGCCAAAAAAAGCAGCATAAAGACAAAGATGATAAAAAGGAAAAAACTTAAAAGATACTACTGATAGGGATTACCAACAACCCAAATAGCAGTTAAAAATCAACTACCCCAAATCTCCTATATGAAATAGTAGCCAGCCTCCCCCATAGTCTTGTATCGGCCCTCCTCACCTGCTAAGTCCTGTCGTCTTGCGAGGTGGCGATTTCTCCACCTGCTTCCCTCTTTGCTTCATATCAGCTAGTCGCTGTCGCATATTGATGGTCATTTCAGAACTCAGACGCCAGATAAAGATACAGCTGCAAGTGAGAAAAGAGAATGGGTGTGTTAAGCTTTGTTTCAATTTAGGTTATTAATATTCCTTATAGGTGAATTTAGGAACAGTCCTTTCTGGTCTGGAGAACTAGCCTAAAAAACCTAGTTCTCCAAAGAGTCAAGAGGACACCACCAGGGTGCATGGTACCTTGACAGTCAGGCCTGCAGGGAAACTTCTCTCCAACCTCAAGCCTGGTAGCTTAGGGCGAACTGGGCAACAGAGGCTTTTTGTCTCATAAAAGATGCTTCACAGTGAGATTTTGTATGTCCTTTAAAATTTTCTGTAGAGCACCAGGATGTTGAAGCAAAAAGCTAAGAAATACAATTCCTTCTCACATTAGGATGTATCATAGCCTCATAACATTTACAGTTAGTAGGAAATAAAATGATCTGCATTTCAGTAATGATCAATTTTCTCAATGTTAAATGATCTCCCTCTTCCACCCAATTGTTTTGAGCTAGGAAGAGAGAAAATGACGGTATTATGTTTTCAAAAGTGTTGTGCTCCTTTGGACTCCAAACAGGAATTAATAGCATTCCCAGAGACTCGGGTCTAGGAACACCACACCCAGCTTTTTAAAGAACAGGCAAAGTTGTGAGGTCTGGCAGCTAGGAGGTATAACAACCTGGGGTTTTGGAAACCCAGAGCTGGCTGGCCAGCTACTTTCCTTCAAGGTCAGCTCCCTCTCTCAAAAACACAACAGTTGAATTAACAGAGGTGATTCCAAGAGCATGAATTAAAATTCAAAAGGCAAGCCTGGCCTGTTCATGATTTATCTTTCCATCCCCTCCACCTCCAATAGCAGGTCAAAGCTAGAGGGAACTGCAGAGCAACAGTTGAATATAAACCAATAAATACATCTCAGCTTTGATACACAAACCCCTTCATAACCTTGCTCCCCATCCACCTTTGTGCTTCAGCTCCTCCTGCAGTACTGTCCCTTGAGCGCCTGCCAATCCTTTTACCATATTCAGGCCCCTTATTTTTCTCTCCCTCTCTACTTCATGCCTTCCATCATGCTATTCCATGTGGCAGGAATCCTCCTTCTGTCCTCATGGCCAATCTGTGGGCCTTGAGGAGCCCTTTCCTTAAAATTGACTTCTCCAAATAATCCCTTCTCATTTCTTAGCAACATTTTCCATACCTTCCTTATTTTCTTGTCTTATTTAATGTGATCAGCAAAGGACAACATGTATGGGGTAAATGGATAATACTATACATTTAAAACAAGGGGTGACATCACAGTTAAAACCGAGCAATGCTCCATCCCCCACTTGTTCCATGCATCTGGAATTCACTCCTTTATAAAGCAGCAGAGCACAAGTGAATGCTTCCCCCAACACACTGCACCTGATTTATATTAATACACACAAGGTGGGTAAGTTGGGAGAGAAGACTGTTTAACTTGAATGAAATCCAGAAACAGCTGAGTGATGCAATACAACATCAGACACTGATATATACAACACAGAACCCCATATATCTCCCTTTACTCAAGTCTGTTTTCTTACTATGGTTACAATTGTGTTTTAAATACTGCCCTGAATAGTCTTAGACAGCAGCTCCAGATGGCATCACAGCCTCAGAGATGCCATGTCTCGGTTTCTGCAGAGCCCACCTGCAGCATCACCATTTAGGATTTCACACTCTGTGCTCCTCTACATGGCTACCAAGCAAAAGCCCTGGCTCCTCCCTATAACTGCTCACCTTGGAAGGGTGAGCTTGTGCCTCAGGCCATGCTAGCAGGAAGTAGCCCATGAACTCATGCGTCCACTGATACTGGCACCTCACAGGGACATATAATTTACTTAAAAAAAGAAACTAAAGCACAGCTCAGCCTGCCCACAGCACCACATTGGGATTTAGGATACAGAAAGGTGGTTTTGGACTCTATAAACAGGGCTACCACTACACTGTAGTGCCCCAAATGTTTATGCTTTTACCACCTCCCTGGAGGTGCTTTAACCCTAGCACATAGAGATGGCACAAAATAATGACTTGCCACTCTACCAGATAAGAGGGACTTCGCAATCACAAGACTGTTGCTTGCTTACCTGTCACCAGAGACAGATATCAGATGTTTGCAGTCATTACTGAACTTCATCCCAGTTACAATCTCTGTGTAAAATAAAACAAAGAACAGCAACTCTTGAACTACCCCAGCGAGCAGCACAAATCATTAGCTAAACGGATTTGCTGGGCTCAGCTCAGCAGTCAAATACTGATTACATCCAGCATGTTTCCATGGAGCCAAGATACCCAAATTCCCACATCATATTTAAGACCATAGTCCCTGCAGACCAGGATTGAGGTATATAACAGCATGAGAAACCCCATAACTGAACAAACAAGATTGAAGCATCTTCCAAACATAAAACAGGGTATCATTGAGGGCTATTGTAGAGAGACACAAGATTTTTTGGGAGGAGTGATCTGCCAACAGAGCAAGAGAATTAACAATAAAGCAGTTTTACAGCTAATATATTAAAAAATGTAATAGGTCATTTTAACATAAAACTGAAATGGAATGTTTGGACATCAAAATTTGAGCTAGCCCTCAATTGCCTCAAAGGACCCCAAAAGATTCCAAGGTTTGGGATTTTTAAAAAATTATTAAGAATCGTGTTTCCTATGCAAAGCTTTTTTGAAAACTAAAAATGCAAAAGAGCTAGTCAGCATTATGCTGACCACCATTATACAAACATTAAATCAGCAGATAGAAAAATAGCTTCTGCAACTCACCTGAGTGCCCATACATTGTGGCCACACACTCGCCAGAGTAGAAATCAAAGATGGAAAGATTCTTGTCAGAACAACTAGTTGCAATATACAGACCTGAGGGATCAGTCTGTACCTGGTTGGGAAGTATGGAAGACAAAAAGGGCTGGTGAGAAAAGTGCCTTAAATTCCCAAGAAATGCCCAAGACAACAGAAAGTTCAGAGAAAGACATTTAGAGTCAGTCTAGACCAGTGAGGGCCAACCTTTTTGGCAGGTGTCCAACAAAATTAGCCCAAACTCTCTACAAATGCCACTATGATCCTCTTCTCCTGCTCCTCTGCTTTCTGTCTCCTCCCTATTTGCCATGTGCCACAAAGAGAGGCTGCCCATGCTACAGCTTGGCCACCCCTGGACTAAACCATAATGTCCAAACGGGTCACGGGGCAGTAACTGTATACTGAATGATGATGCATTTTGTCCCATGCCTGGCCAACTAGAGGTTCTCCATCTGCTTCCTAATTTAACAGACTTTCCCACTTTAAAATGACCTGAAGCCCAGTTGTTTGAACAAGTCCCGACAACATTAGAATTTGAAAGGTCCAGTCTGACATCAGCTGTTCTTAGACAATGAAACATTAAAAAAAAACAAACTTGAATGGGAAATTGCAGAAGAAGAAATCATCCACAGACTGGACTGTATTAAGAATGGTCAAAACCTAAACTACAGATTCTTATCCTATTACCTAGATTAGTTTTTATAACCTTTTTGTCCCTCGGTGAGTTGACTGCTTTGTTTTTCAGGCATTCTCCAGGGAATTGACTGAGGCAACCAGAACTAAAGACCTGATGGGTCATGGGTGACTTCAACTACCCTAACATCTGTTGGGAGGACCATTCAGCTGGCTCCAGCAAGTCAGCCAATTTCTTAGCAACTACTGATGACCTGTTCCTGTCACAGGTTTCCAAAGAACCAACTGAGGTAAAGCCACTCTAGAATTAGTGCTTACCAAAGGGGAGGACACGGTAGAGGACCTGAAGATTGGAGGTACTCTGGGTGACAGTGATCATGATCTGATTAGGATCACAATCCACCGGAAAGCTAGGATCCCAATTAGTAAAACAGAAGCCCTAGTTTTCAGAAAGGCGAACTTTGACAAACTCAGGAGGTTAGTTAGAAAGGCCCTCTGCAACCAACAACTAGACAATTTGATAGTTCAGGAGCAATGGTGCCTCTTCAAGGGAGCAATTCTCACTGCTCAAAAAGAGGCCATTCCCATGAAATCAAAGAGTGGGAAAGGAGCCAAGAGACCTGGGTTGGCTCAACAGGAACATTAGAGAACTTTTGAAAAAGAAAAAAGATGCATATAATCAATGGAAAAAAAGGCTCAGCAACCAGAGAAGAGTTCACTATATAACCTAAGTCTGCAGGTAGAAGATAACGGAAAAGCCAAGACGGGCATGGAGATCAAGCTGCCATCCGAAATAAACAAAGTCCTCCTACAGGTACGTGGGGAGCAAGAAAAAAAAAAAAAAATAAAGTTCCACTGTGGGACCCCTACCAAATACAGAGGGACAGCCTACAGTTGATCACCACAAAAAGGCAGAGCTTCTAAATAAATACTTCACATTGGTATTCCAGAAGGTTAACAGGAGCTGTGAACCCATGCAGAGGCCCAGAGAACATGGGGAACCCTATAGAAAACATGAAAATCAGTCCCAGACAGATGAGGTTCCCCTTAGAACAAATGGATGTTTTCAAGTCCACTGGGACAGATGACCCACATCCAAGAGTCCTGAAAGAACTGGATGAACTCATAACAGAGCTCTTGGCAAAGATATTCAAAAAGTCATGGAACTCTGGGGGTGTTCCCAGATGACTGAAAGAAGGTCAACCTGATGCCCATTTTCAAAAAAGAGAGGAGGCATGACTCTGCAACTACAGACCGGTCAGTTTGACTTTGGTCCTTGGAAAAACTTTTGAAAAAATAGTTAAAGAGGCCATCAATCACAAGCTTGTAACCAACAGAGTATTAAGAAACAAGCAGCCTGGCTTTGTGGAGGGTAGATCATGCCTGACAAACCTGGTGTCCTTTTACGATGAAGTTTTACTTAGATTTCAGTAAGGCCTTTGATTCAGTCTCCCATGAAATTCTCTCAGTCAAACTGGAGGGTACTGGCCTGGACCAGCCTACAGCGAGGTGGATGGAAAACTGACTTAAAGGCTGGTCCCAGAGAGTTGTAAACTGACGGGACGGCCTCATCCTGGAGAACTGTCTCCAGTGGTGTCCCCTGGGTCGGTGCTTGGACCAGTGCTTTTTAACCTATTTAGTAACGACTTGGATGAGGGGGTGGAACACTCTACGATTAAGTTTGCAGATGATACCGAGCTGTGGGCACACCATAGGATAGGGTAAAGATCCAGGATGACCTTGACAGACTGGTTCTATGGGCTGACTGGAATCAGATGAGGTTCAACAGGTAAAAGTGCTGAGTCCTTCATCTGGGTAGGAAGAACCTTCACCACAACTATAGAATAGGCAGTAGCCCACTGGCTGGCACAGCATCTGAACAGGACCCGGGGGTCACAAATCGACCAGAAGATGAATATGAGCCAACAGTGTGAGGAAGTCACTGGCAGGACAAACAGAATTCAGGCATGCATCAGCTAATATGTTGTCAACAGATCCAAAGAGGTGCTTCTCCCTCTCTACTCAGTGTTGGTGAGGCCACAACTGGAGTACGGTGCCCAGTTTTGGGCACCACACTTCAAAAAGGATGCAGATAAAACTTGAGAGGGTGCAGAGAAGGGCCACCCACATGGTTAGGGGCCTGGAGGATAGGCCCTATGAGGAGAAACTCAGGGAGCTGGGCTTGTTCAGTTTGGGTAAGAGAGCTGCAAGGTGACTTGATAGCTACCTACAAATATGTCAGGGGGGAACACCAGGACCTGGGGGAGCAACTCTTCAGGAAGGTACCCCTTTGGAGGACGAGGACCAATGATCACAAACTAACAGAGGGAAGATTTAGGCTGGACATAAGGAAGACCTTCTTTTCCATAAAGGTAACTAGAACCTGGAGCACACTCTTGGCAGAGGTGGTGCAGTTGCCATCGTTGGAGGTGTTCAAGAGGAGGCTAGATAAGCACCTCGTTGAGCTAGTTTGAGCTCTTTAACCTCCTGCCTATGGCAGGGGACCAGACTTGATGGTTTTACAGGTCCCTTCCATCTGTTGACTCTGACTTATAGCCATCTTGCTTCTTTAACCAGCGCCCGCTCTTTTTTTCTCCCCCTTTCCTACCCTTTCTATTCTAATCACTGCTTCCTACAGTCCTTTCACAACATCTGATGAAGTAAGCCCTCTGCTTAAGAAATCTTATACTATACATCTCTGATTTAGTCTATAAAGTTGCAAATCTACCCTGCCTTTTACCAGCACAAATGCCACTCAGTAAGAATGACACACTTAGACACAGCAAAAACCATCATTCATCTTAATAGAAACTAGTCATGATCAGCAGCAAACTACTGAGTGACTCACATGGGTCCCTACTCATCTTGCCAGCACCCCAGGACAAACACCTAACCACCAACTCACCCATCAAAACCCTTTGCAGAGCTATCTCCAGTCTTATTCTCAAAATACCAGGTAACCCACAGCTTTTCCAACCAAATCCAAAAAAGAAATTGATTATCTTTAAAGATTCCACCACCGATCTGAATTTGCTGTAATGCTCTGATCAAATTCCCCTTTTTCCTCCTCCCTCCCATAATGAACAGAGCTCATTATTTTTCAGTTGATCCTATATTTTTTAACAGTTTATGCCATACCAACCCCAGGATAGTCATAGCTAGTAAACCTATACAAAACATCTCCAAAACCTGAGCCTTCAAGCATGGAAGCTAGTCTGCTCAAACAGCAATGCAATAAATACTCAAAGAAGTTGTTAACATGCTTACTCTTGTAATTCTAAAATTTGCTTTGTTAATATTTCTGCGAATTCTGTATTGGAGCTCTTACTATATCTGTGTTTTGCAGAACTTCGGAAATTCAAAAATAAAAGGGGTCTGGATTAGTAGAGTTTGTGCTTTTAATAGCAGTTATTTCAGTTTTATTGCTGCATTTTTAAGTCCCAATTATATGCTATATAAAAATGTTTAACCTCAGAGTGCCAGGCTCCAAATAAGTTTATATTGAAGCATCAAAACAGATCACCACGTTACATAGTTAGCCTAAATATGTAAAGGAAAAAAATGGAAATTATGAGCTGCACAATATTAGTGTTCTGTATCACAGGGTTCTCTCCATGTCAGAAAAGCAAATACACACTTAATATTAAAAAAAAACAACCACCACCCATCAGCAACATTTTACAGTTTGAGGCCACAGAGATATTACTGATCAAGTCAGGTGTTCAGTTATAAGGTACAGCAGCAATTTTTCATGTTCAGTGCCCTAGTTTATTAAATGCTGTGGGAAAGGGGAAAACTATCAAGTTTGCAAAAAAGAAAAAAAACCAAACCATGTAGCTCTGTTTATGCAAAAGCAGAAAGGGCGACTTTTCTTTTTTAAACAATGCATTTATTTCCATTAAATCAAATGAGAGTTTACCTCCCCCAGTAGAAATAATCATTAAAAAAAAAAAGAGAGAAAGAGAAAAAGAAAAAAACCATCAACGAAAACATACAGGAGACACATTTGACAAAAAAGGGAAAATGGCCTGAGGCTTTGCTGCAGTAAATTAACTTAACAGATTTGTTTGTTGAAGTCAACTTGCCTTTTGTCTTTGGGAACAAGACTTCAAGTGTACTAAGTCATAAGAGTGATCTCATAATTTAGCTGTGTTCTTACATGTCCATCCCCAAACCACCCATGTTTGCCAGGAGTACAGAATGAAGTGGTACAGTATCCGAGGACAGAGGCACATCTGAACACAGAGCTTGCATTAGTACTGCAAGTCCCTCAGAAGAGCAAGGCATTCCTCTGAGAGCCTGCCTTGATTTCATCAACATTTCTGCATGTCATTTGTGTGAAGATCACTCTCTGGGCAACACCTTAGCATTTCAAGGGCTTCATAAATTCCTCATTAACTTTGACCACTGACAGCTCCAACATGTAATCTTAACACAAAAAACCAAGAGGGCTGGAACAAGCTCTTCCCAAACAGAGCCTAAGGGATGGAGGGATCACATACAAGCTTCTCATCAGCATCTGAGAACCTGCAGGGAAAAGAACCACATCAAGGCAGGAGTACACAACACCCTTCTACAAGGCAAGGTCCTCCTGGAAAGTGCCTCTACAGATGGTAGGGAGAAGTGACTGGTTCTTGCAAGTAGCACATAACAGACCAAACTCTGCTAGCAAGTATCGGTTCAGTTCCAGCAACTGCCAAACTGGCTCAAAAGAAAGTTTGGTCCAACACACAGTTTGAAGCACAATGCAGTATGTATTCACTTAGTCTATGTTTTGGTGTCAGTTAGCCCAAGTGTGTTTTTCAAGGCTTTTGCTGGGACTTGAAGGCTAGTATGTGTAGGAAAGCAAAGGGAGGGTTGGTTTGGATTCTGATTTCATCTTTAACTAATTGTTTTAGGCATCTGTGGTGAGAAACAGCTGCCAGCTGAGTACTTTTTTTGTACACATTGTATCATACTTAGTCAAATATAAAACAAAGTCTGACACCTGTCCCCCCAGCCAGTCAGCATGAAAAAAGCCCCTTGTCTTATATTCACATACAAAGTGGAGGGAGAAGCAGGAGGCTGCTGTATCTCTGGCTCTGGGCCTGAGCCCAGGTCAGGGTGAATCAGAGCCAGAGCAGCCTTCTTGGCCCTCTCCCCTCCGCTACTTCCTCTCCATAGCCTCTGCCCACCAGCCCACCCCCTTACTGTCAGGCACAGCCTGGCTCCAGCGCAAGTTGAATATGGCACGGGGCACAAGGAAACGCCTTCCACTGCTTCTCCCAATGTTAACACTGCTGCAAGGCCAAGCAAGGGGTGAACTTCTTCCACTGCAGTGCTCTCAGCCTGAGCAGCATCTGATAGTAAGGATTGCAGAGACTTGTAGGGAGTTTGGGAAAGAGAGGCAGAGACTAGGGGGGAGTTAGGGGAGGGACAGAGGCTGAGGGCATGGGGAGCACCTGACTCCCCTTCCCTCCCAGCCACTGCTTTCCCTGCTTTAGCGATGGGGGTGGGGATTCAAAACAACCCTACAATACTTAGATTCTATACCTGGAAAATTATAACAAATTTTTAAGACTTTCTAGGTATAGAATCTAATTATTAGGGCATCATTTTATATTCAGGGTCATTTATACTCAAGTAAATATGGTGTTTTGTTTTGTTTTTAATTATGATTTAGGTCCCAAGAATCTTACTTGGGAACTTTTTAATATGTACTAAAAGTCAAACAAATTCAGTAAAATAAAAAAATGGCACGTATGTCCCTTATTAGCACTTCAGAGGGAAAAGGTTTACACATCATAATACCCTGGACCCATACATAATTCCAGGGTACTGGATTTAGCTCAGAAGAGTGATGAAAAGGATGAAAGAACAGGGAAAAAATAAAAAAAGGTTATGTTTGAATTCTTGGAGGGCTTACTTTAATGAGGGTGCCATCTTCACCTTGAGATCCCTTGTACAACTTCTTCTGCTTCCCACTGCTTATATTGAAAATCCTGAGGGGAACACAAGAAACAACTCATTACACCCATGCATCATTCTCCACTACTTCTCACAAGATCCCTTCCCTCTCTTCTCTCCGTGGCAGGCCACCCCCACACACAACGGACTGGGGGGCTATAGAGCCAACAGCCATTCCAAGGAACTACACCGGCCATAATTCATAAAGCTCAAATCATTCAAGTGGTTAAATGTATAACTTGGAAACTAGCATGCTGGCCCCAAGATTACAATACAAAATAGATTATCTGAATTAAAACTCTGACTTAAATCTCAAACTGATTAGGCAAGGAGTATGTTTGGTTTCAGGAAACTGATGGAGCAGGCAGAAAAGAATCAGCTTTTTGGCACTGAATGATAGCCACTGGTGATGCATCAGGAATGATGCTTAGCAAATTCCACACAACTAAAACTACTGAAAGACCATCTCTGAGGAGTGCTGTTACAGGAGACGAAGGGAAGTTGGGAGGCAGAACTTCTGTTGGAGCAGGATATAAAACAAGTCACCTCCTAGAAACTCATCAGCATACAATAAAGGGTACCACTGTAGGACTGGGAAAAGTCTCTTTTCCACTGGGGGCAGCAAGTGTAAATAGAAAAATTAAAGACTGGAAGAAATTTCAAAATGGAAGCAGAGTGTCAACTCCAGTTGACAGCTGTCGCTAAAGAACAGCAACAGTTAACCCCAGCTTTGGATTCCCCCAATTCAACAGATTTCACAGAAACACACATTATTTTGTCTGACATTCCTGTGATGGTAAAAGCTACTTCAGGGAAAAGAATGCGTGCCATAGGAAAACACAGTCACTTGCTCAACCAGGAGAGCCTCTCCCCTGCATGGACCACAACCACAGGCTAAGAGACTCAAAGGCATCTTGGAACATGCATGGTTTTTCACTACTGGGGACAAGAGGAGAACTCAGGCTCGCTGGGGCCTGAAGATGACACTTTAGGAATTCAAATTCTAAGAAAAACTACACTAAATGACTTGTAGGGGAAAATATTCTCTGCTAACTGTTTTCTGAAGTGCAAGAATAAGGCAACAAAACAAACCTACCGGATGTTACGGTCTTGACAGCCAATAGCAGCATACTTCAAGCTGGGGTCAACATCCATGTCATACAAAGTAGTCTTTCTAACAATATGGTGGCTCCGAGTAAACTGAACCCCATTCCCTGTCTAAGCAAAGAGGATAAAAAATTAATGAAAGTCAAGTCACTAAACACACTCAAGTCCCCCCACCTCTTTACAGATGTAGTCAGCACAAGCCAACCATTCCCTACAATGACTCCTGGAGATGCAATAAACACCTCTCCACAGCTGGTCCTCTCATGACATTCCTTACAGTGACTCCCTAAGGGAAAGAATGGAGTCCTCAATCATTCCCTGCCCTGATTTCTGCTGAGAGGCTGTACCTGAAAGCAGCTGTAAAATTGCTCCCACCATCAAATTAAGCACCCACTATAACCTGCTACACCAAGTCACACACTGGGATAAACTGCGACTGAAACAGCAACCAGCTCCTATGCCAGCTTTACCACAACATTGCCTCAGAGCAGCTCCCTTTAGGAGATGTTACAGAAAAGGATGACAGCAGTAACAAAAGGTTACCTTCTGTGCAGTGCGAAAATAGATACTCTTGTCTGCCCCACAGCTGATCATCCTCACTTTCCCATCATTAGCTGGAACAAAGAAAAAGAAATAGGTCCAACAAGTAAACACAACAGGAACAGTGGAACAGCTGTTCATTGCATTTTCCTCATTCCTCCCCCTACAGCTCCAACTAGCCATGCCTGACTATGCTGTAGGGAGTCAGTAGTGCAGGCTGGTGCACACAACACCAGAAGGCCTTTCTGTCCTCAAGAAGGAATAGTCTTTTTTACTAGTTCAGAGGGTTCAGCCACAGAGAATTCCAAAGGGAACTCAATAAACCATCAGGGCCCTGGACAGCAGGTAGACATTTAAAAATTCTGCAGTTCCTCTGAGCATATCTTTTGCTCTCTGGATACTACAGCCCTCCCTCTTGGTGCAGGCTGGGGATGGAGAATGGAGTGTCTACCCCATACCATAGGCCAAAAATACCAGCCTGGATACTTTTTCCGAAGTCAAGTTCCAACCTCCCTCAGCTATGATAACAATGGATGGGTGTAGCCATTTTATATGGGTTAAAAAGCAGGGGAGTGGGGAAATGATTAGTTAAGTTAGCCCAAAGAAATATGAAGGGATTTCAATTCCCACAGGCGGAAAAGATAAGACAAGCCTTGCTTGCTAGTATGACTGTAGCTATAAATGAGGAGAAAGAAGAAAGTTAAACTGTAACCTCACATAAATCACGAATTACAAGGTTAAATAATTCTACCAAACTTCACAGCCACGATATAGCAGCAACAGTATTCTTGATGCCTGGCAGATTTTGCTTACATCAGCATAAATAAAATTATACGGGCTCTCCAACCTGCAAACTTCACAGCTGTGATGGAAGAAGAATGCTCATCCAGAGTCTGCTGCAATCTATAGTCCTTCCCAGCATCCAAAACATGGATCAGTCTATCCCGACTGGCTGATGCCAAGAGCTTAAATCCTGCCAGAGATTTTACAAGAGAAGCAAAACCTTTACTGAAAAGCAATTTGCTTCTTTGATCATAATATTAAGCATCTTCAAGTTGCACAGTAGATACCCTTCCTAATAAGTTTAGTACAAGTAAAACAGGTGCATACAAAGGAACATCCCCCAGGTTTCAACTTGCAATAGAAGACACAAAACGTAGTGATCTAAACTCCCCACATCCATACAGTAGCAAGAGATGGAAGCCTTTTCAAACTCAGGGCCTTCTCCTGCAGTGCTACAAAAGCCTCTGCTCTGAGAACTAAAGGAGCAGCTGCCCACTAGAGACTTGTTATACATAACAACCAGAAAAAGAGTTGCTCTACCTCAGGCACAAGACAATACATCATGCAGGCCACATAAGCAAGCAGTGGGGGGAATAAAACCCTTCCGTTTCTTACCTGTGTCAGGTTTGGAGTACTCCAGGCAGAGGATCTCAGAATCATGAGCTTCTACCTTCAGCATTTCCCTAAGGGACTGCAACTCATAAATTCTGAAATAAGACAAAAGATGTCAGTGTCCACATGGAAATATAGAGTGGAAAAAGGGAGACAGTCTTCTCTATGTTCATCCCTGTCCCACAGTCATCCCACCCTAGAAGCCCTAGGGTTACCTGAGAGTGCCAATCCTGTCCCCTGAGGCCAGATGTTCTCCACTGGGGCTCACACACACAGTGCGAATCCCCACTTTTGTGTCTGTAACCTGTGTGTCAGCTTTATCTGCACTCCCACCAGAGTTGTAATCAGTGTCAAGCAGGCACTGAGTGTTGTCATCCACATAGATGATTTTCATCAGGTCCTTAAAAGAGAAAAGACCAAGGAAGTACTGAAGTGAAGAACTGGCAGTCAAGCTCAGTAGGGATCTGAACTGATAGCCAATCCAGTGCTTGGAGGGGGGTGGGGAAGAGATAATGGAAGTTAGAACATCAGTGTCCATCTTCTTTAAAAGAGCCAGAGTGCACCTTATTCTGTGCCACTAAGAATGGAAAAGACTTTCCTCACATTGCCTTTCCTCACCTCTGTGCAGCCATAAAATACTTTATGGCAGCATAAAAGCAAAGCAAACAGACAGACATCCATACCCTTTATTGCACCATAAATGCCCAAAGTTTGTGGCTGTGACATAAATGGCAATATATTGTGCTACTTTTTTGTGATAGACATCTGTTTTCTTGCGATGGGAGAATGCAAGCAGCCTGGAGCTGCTCACACTCCCCAGCCACCCTGGGTATCTCCTCTAGAGGCTTGTGGAGCCTAAATCTTGCGAACTCCAGGAAGCCCTGCACAGGTTTGAGCCCCTCAGGCCCCTGGAGCACCTGCATAGTTTCCCAGCTTACAGAGACACGTCTCCAGGAATATCAGGGCACTTCTCTGTAGAGAGGGAAAGCCAGGGTTCCCTACTTACAAAGACATATCCTGGGATCTCTCCAGGATGTCCGTTTAAGCATGGAAAGCCTGGCATGTCCCCACTTCTGGTGATGCACCCTGGGATCTCCCCAGTGTGTCTCTCTAAGTGGGGAAAGCCCAGAATTCCCCACTTACCAAGATGCAACCCCAACATCTCCCAAGTGCATCTCCTTAAGCAGGGAGATCTTGTGCTGTGGCTCCATAAATGGGAAACCCTAGGCTTTTCTCACTTAAGGACATGTGCTCGGGAGATCCCAGGGTATATCTCCATAAGCAAGGAAACCTCAACTTTCTCCCTTACCAAGACATGCCCAAAGATTCCTTGGAGCATATCTAAGTGAGGAAAGTAAGGCAGGTGCTCTAGAAACCTAAGGGGTTCAAACCTGCTAGGGAATTCCCAAGGCATACAGAATTGGGCCTCTCAAGCCCCAGGAGAACATGTCACCCACTGTCCCACAGCATGAACAGTTGGAACAAGGGTGACATGCGTTATACCTAATGAAGGAAATCAGCTGTGCCAGAACACATCCTAGCATAGCTTATGTCATTTAATTTAACAACATCTGTTTCTCCCCTCAGAGAAGCCTCCAGGCTACAAAATACTAAAATAAGGATGCAGTGGGAACTACATGAAGCATTCCTGAAGGTCAATACAAGTAGGCCTAAATCGTCATAAATCTCTCTGGCAAAGTAGCTTCTTTTGCCAAGTGCAGCTTACTCAGAAATGGATCTAGAGAGCGGGTCACATAACAGCAACAGAAGCAATTAGCTGGAACCAGTCACTGTACTGTGCTTCCTTCCATTTAACATCACTATAGATAGGAGGAAATAGGAATCAGATGGTGTGGATTTAGAACTCTCTTCCCATCCCTGCCCCCAGTCTCTATCAGTCATGGAACATTCTTCCACCAATCCTGATAATGAAATAATTATATGAATTGCAGGATTGGGAGGAACTAGACAAACAGTTATACCCTCTTCTGAAACAGCTGGCATAAGCCACTCTGGACAGGATGAGACAAGGTGATTTATCTGGTTCACAATAACAAGTTTTAAGATGTTTACAAAATATTCAGATTTTTGTTTACACTTGATCTGCCCCTACACAACTTCTCCAGGTCTGTAAAACTTCCCTCAGATGACCTTTGGGCCTTAACTCTGACATTGCTGTACATGAGCCAAAGGCCAAGAAATGAGCTGTCTTGGCAGCCTGGGGTTCTTACGCTGCTGAGGATGTTCCGATGCAGAGCTGAGCCATGAATGTTGGAACTCTCCGTGTTCCACAAACGAATGGTGTTGTCAGATGAACAGGTGATAAAGGAACTTGGGGGAAGGTAGGACTGATTGTTGTCCTTCACCTCAGGATACACCTAGAAGTACATAAAGAACAACCCCCAAGTGAGATGTCACTGTGGTTTGTTTTTAAGACAGTAAGTTTCGAACTCAAATGCAGATGGCTGCTACCTCAGCTTCTGACATGTTAACGAGACAGAAAGGAATGATCTTACTCCAAAATTCTATTCTCACTGGCTGGCCAATCATCAATTTGTGTTCCTTTCACAAACCAATACAGAGTGGAGTTCCCTGGCTAGAATAGTAAGCCCCCTTGCTTTCTTCCACAGCAATGAGAAAGGAGAGAGCTGATATCCCTCATCTCTAAAAGAGCACAATAGAGGGAGGCACTGGGCTGTTGCCAGACAGGGCACTGACAGAAGTGATGTTCTGTCGTGCAATCAGCCCCTGAGAGCACTCTACAGCCATGCCCTGACAGAAGTGCACAGTTGCAGAGAGCTTTATAAATGCCCAATTGCATGACAAATGAACTTTCATTACATGAGGGTTCAGATGAAGGCGCTCCAAAGCAGAGCACCTTCACTGACTTCTGTCCGTCCCTGCCAGGAACAGGGCCAGGCTGAAGCATCCCAGTGCTGTCTTCAGAATAGTGGGTGGGGAAAGAAGAGGAGGGAGTTTGGTCTGGGGTTTGCCCAGCCTGCTTTGGAGGCAGGGAAGGCATGTTGATTGGAGCCCCCCCAAGGTGGGTTGGGGAATTGGGGGCTCTAATCCACCCCACCTCCAGTGCAGGTGGGGCAAACCCAAAACCAAACTCCTTCCCCCATCCCATCCTAAAGACAGCACTACAGCTTGTGGGGAGCAGGGGCAGGGCTATGGCAGAGGTACAAACTCAATCTGCCAACTTCCTCCCTCCCACAACCCAACAAGCAACATCTGTTGGATCAGGGGGATCACTGTAACTTGTGGTACTTCCTGGGAAGTGCCATGAGTTACAGCAGGGAGCTGCATATCTGTCAGCACCCAGTCCTTTGAAGCCTTACATACCACTGAAGAGTCATGTTCCAGGACAGGTTAGAAAGGTGATAAAGACCCTAGTTTTGCCTTCTTCTCTCATTACCAAGTCTCCCTTTTCTGAGATGACCTGTGAATTTTGAAACTCCACACAAATTCTTACTTCCTGCCATGACTCTCAGAGAGAGAGAGAGAGAGAGAGAGAGAGGGAGAGAGTGAGCACGCTAAATTTATGTACTGGAAACTATAGAGCCTTGCTGGGAAATGCATACAGACCTCATAAACAGGTTAACTGAGATCTGAGTTGAGATCTGATCAGGTTTCATACATTTACCCTTAGATCATATGTTCAAAAAGTTATACTTCAAGCATAGCTAGACTGAACTGAACACATTTTAGGAGTGAGCTTGTGTTTAAAGGCCACCAATGACTTCTCAAACATTTTATACTTAAAGGTACACATGTACCAGTTTCGACAAACACTGACTTTTTTCCTGAATTTCTGGGAGGTAGAAATTGCCTTTTAATGGTACGTTATTTTTCAATAATGCTTTTCACCCAAAGAGCAGAGCCAGTCACAACTGCACATCCAAACAATAGCTCCCAATTCCACTGAGTTACAGCAGAACCAGAAAAACCACAAGAAGTGATTTGGATTGATCCTCTCTGTAACTAGCATTTCCATTTAATTAAGAAAGTCCCTCAGCTGCTTTCCTCACCTGCATCCCCCAACCCACCACGTGTACTAGAAAACCACTCGTGGCCCACCATTACCTCAATGCTCCACACGCAGGAAGAGTGATACAAAGCAGAGTAAACCTTGCCAACTTTCTTCGGGTCCTTGACATCCCACACGTATAGGCTGTGGTCATTATATACACATGATAGCCACTGGTTGGTGGGGTCAAAAGTCAGGGCAATCGTGTCTGGATACTTGACATCAGTCATGCCAGAGAAGAGACGGCTGTGCAAAAATAGGACCATATTCTGGTTACTGAGTGCAACACTGGAGAAAAGTCAGACCAAGGAGCAAACAGGAAAAACTGGACCTCTTATCCTCTGAAAGACTAGAGGTTGGGATTAGCCAGAACCATACATTCATGTAGGGTTAAAGCAAGCAAGATGGAAAACTGACCTGCTTGAACAGTATATCTGCCTACCAAAAGGGGCCTGAGATTTCTTGGATGAAAGGGGCCAGAAGAACTGGTCCCAAGATTTGGTTTTCTTCTTTTCAGTCTGCACCTAGTTCATCCCTGGCTTAGCAGAGCCTTACTAATGTTCTGCAAACAGCCAGAACAAGAGGGTCTTCAAATCTTTGGAACCCTAGTCATTCCCTGTCCAAACACGAGGAAACAAGGAAAGCAAAGAATAATATTTTTGTCTCCTTACATCTCTGACAAGCAGGTGGGAGTGAAATGTGGCAGCACAAGCAACAAAATGCCTACTTCTGCTCTAGTCTCTCAGCTACCCACAGGAAAACTAAAAGCTGAAATTAAATTAAATTAAAACCCAGACAGAGAAGTCCTGGTGCTTCACACCAGCATAGAAAATAAATTCCAGAGCTATGTGGTAGAACAAGGACATCAAACTGGTTTGGCCCTCCAGGCTGCACCCAGACTCATTTCTGGTGGTAGGGCAAACAGCGGCAGTGTTGACCCCTACCAGGAACTAGAGGGTTTAACACCAGTTGCTCATCCTGCCTGTGCAGAAAGAAATCCCCAACAGGACTCCATACCCATATGAACTAAGTGACTGCAGCACTGCTACTGCCACCTAATTCCTGGCCTCTCCAGGAGCATGATGGACTGGATGATTGCCACCTTTGTAGAAGCAAAAGAACCATATTAAGAGTTCACAGAATCATAGAGAAGTGGGGCTGGAATGAACCTCCAGAAGTCATCTAGTCCTTTCCCCTGCTTCGGGCAGGATCATCCCTATCCAAACCATCCCATACCAATCATAATCTAAACTCTACATAAGATTACCATCAACCCTGACAACACAGACCAAACACCTTAACCTGCCACAGGTAAATCAGGGAAACCACAGCAGTCAATCTGCTGCTTCTAAGAAATGTTGTCAATATATGCTCAAGGGATCCCAGGTAGAGGGCTACATCCACCATTACAGTGAAAGCAAAAACCCCCACAGTTCATACCAATCTGGCCATGGGGTAAAATTCCTTCTTAATCCCTAAACATGGCCATCAGTCTGACCAAAAGTGAAAGGGCAAGACCCCCCGTAGCCAGGAGCCTCTGGCTTTGGTTCCAGCAGACGCATTGGCACACCCCAGTTAAAACACTCAACTTTAGCTGCAGCCAACACCCAATGCTTCTCGGAAGGCTTAAAAATACCCTAACATGCAACAGAAAAGGCAAAAGGGGGCAACCAGCAAAGCCCAGAAGCATGGGAAATACCCACAGTATGCCTAGATCACCCCTGACAATGGCTATCCAATCTCTTCTTGAACACCTCCAGTGATGGAGAATCCACAACTTCCCTAAGCAGACTATTCTACTGTGTCACTGTTCAACAGTCAATAGATTTTTCCAGATATCCAATCTAAACTTACTTTGCTACAACTTCAAGCCATTAGTCCACGTCTTCCTCTCTGCAGCAAGAGAAAAAAAGGGTGCTTTCCCTCTTCTTTATGGTAGTCCTTCAAGTATTTGAAGGCTGCTGGCATGTCCCCTCTTAGCACCTTTTCTGCAAGCAAGCTGAATATGCTTAGTTCCTTCAGCCTCCCCTCATGATTTGCCTTCCAAGCCCTTGGATCATGTTTGTTGCCTGCCTCTGAATCCTCTCTATCTTCTCCATGTTCTTTTTAAGATGTGGAGTGCAGAACTGCATACAGTACTCCAGATGAGGCCATGTCTTGTAACTAATGCTTCTACTGATGCAGCCCAAAACTGCATTCACCTTTTGTGCGGCTGCATCATGCTGCAGACTCATATAGTCTGATCTACAAAGACTCCCAAGTCCTTTTCCAAAATGCTACCATCCAGTCAGATATTACCCATTTTATATTTGTGTTTTGATTAGTTCTCCCATTGTGTAGCACCTTGCATTTGTCCACATTGAACTTCATCCTGTTAGCTCTAGCCCAACTTTCCAATCTGTCAAGATCCTTCTGAATTGTGTTCGCATCCTCCAACAAGTTTGCAATCCTTCCCAGTTTCACGTCAGCTACAAATTTGCTCAAGAAGCTTTCTATTCCAACATCCAAATAATTAATAAACACGTTGAACAGCAGTGAGCCCAGGACAGATCCCTGTGACTCATAGATTCATAGATTAAGGGTCGGAAGGGACCTAGTAGATCTTCTAGCCCGACCCCCCGCCAGGGCGGGAGAACAACAAAAAAAAACCCCAAAAAGAGAAACGGAACTCAAATGAGTCCAGCCAGGTAGGCATCCAGCCTCTTCTTAAAGACCCCCAGGGTAGGGGCCAGCACCACTTCCCTTGGAAGTTGGTTCCAGCTCCTAGCCGCCCTAACTGTGAAGTAGTTCTTGCGGATGTCCAATCTATACCTCCTCTCCATCA